GAGAGAGAGAGAGAGAGTAGAAGAAGAAGAGAAATGAGAGCAGAGAGTCCTGGCTCAAGGCCAATAAGTAAAGCGGAATCGGGGTTCAATGCGTGAGATGTAGAGGCAGAGTGACCTAAGCCCCCACCTCAGCTCTGCTTTCTATTACTGTGCCATGAGCAAGTGGCTTAATTTCCCCAGGACTCGGCTTCTTCATCTGTAGAATGGGGATAGGGAATGAACCGCAAAAGGTTGTAGCACAAAGCGTGCAAAGAGTCACCATCAGCAGAGGCGACTGCTGTTGTAATGGTCACGGTTGTGTTTCTGACAGACAGCGAGGCTCCTGCCCCGAGGCAGGGCTGTCTTCTTCTGTGCAGCAGCTGTTTCCAGTCTGAGTCCGCCCACTGATCAGGACTCGAGGTAGGACTCTAGGAAGATGAATAAAAGCCTGTGAGCCAATTCTTTCCATTTCGGCTGTAGCCACCTGGCTGTCCAAGGCTGGGAAGGGGTTAAGGTGCCCCCGAAGCTTGCTGGGAGGGCAGCTGGCTCAGCGGGCACTCGGCCTGGACGAGAATATAAGCACTCTTGGTGTTGCCCAGGCAGAGAGGGCAGTGTGGAGGGAAGCTGCTGGAAGAGGCAGGGGACATCATCCACCCTGGCCTCTTTCCCAGGCACATCACAGTGGCAGGATTTTTTATGATTCTGACCCAGTGGGGATCCCTCTACTTGGGGAGGCTGCCAACCCACGCCCTTCTGAATGGCAAGGTCCTCCCACAGGGACAGAGGGAACAAGTGGCATTTATGGAGCAGCCCGGAGGAAAGAATGTGAGCTTTGGAGGCAGCAGACCAGGCTCGCATTCCGGCTCCGACACTTCCTGTGTGACCTTAAGTGAGTTGATTAACCTCTCTGGGCCCCAGGTTTGTTATCTATAAAAATGTTCAGGACGATGCCTATTATGTAATGCTGCTGTGCAGAGGAAATGTGCTCATAGTGGTGAGCTGTGTAGCTCGGAGGAGGGAAGCACTCGCTAAGGGGTAGCTGCTGCTGTTAATTCCCTGGGCCGAGTCCTGGGAGGGGAGGTGGGCCTGCTGACTGCCCTGTGTGCTGAAGCAGCAGCATTACCGGCAGCAGCAACTATGGAAATAGACCCTTGATAAATAGGGGTGAGTCAAATGAATGAATAATAACTAGGCCCTCTGCTGTATGGAACCCAGCTGACATGGCTGGAGAGATTCAGACCTATATTTTATAAAACCTTGGGCATTGGACCGACCAGAAAGGTGGAACTGTTGTGAAGAGAACCTGCACCTGTTTGCCAACCTGTCAGCCAGGGGCCTCTTGCACCCCCAAGTGAATGATCTCCCCCAGATCCTGCCTCGGGTTCTCAAAAGACTCCTTCACCTCCGTTCGGGGTGGAGGAGCCCTGTTTGCTGGGGAGACAGATGCCGCCAAGGGGGCTGTTTTGGAAGGGCGGGCAGGGTGACACAGGTCACTCAGAGACGGGTGGCCGAGCCTCCCAGGGGACCGCCCAGGCACCTCTGGGCCAAAGTCAGCTTCCTCAGCTATTCAGTCCTTGCTCCCTGGGCGGGTCTGTGATTCTCTACTCAGCATTTCCAAGGACAATTTTTTTCAGAAGTGCTATTAGAAAATTGTTTAAAAGTCTATTTTCCCGGGACTGATTTCCTAGGTCCTCAGAGTCTTGTCTCGAGCAGAATTGGGAGTAATAACACCGGCCTGGGTGCTCATTATCTGTGAGGCCTGGGCAGGTGACCCACCCTTGGCTCTAGCGTCCGCAGCTGTGATGTAAACAGTCCGTGGGATGATCCTGAGGACCCTCCCAGGCCACCCCCTGTGTGTTCACTGCTGTACCCCGGGGGCTGGCACCGAGCCCTGCACAGAGTAGATGCTCAATAAAAGTTTGCTGAATGAATGAGCGAATCCTGTGAGGTGATGACTCACTTGGTCCCTACTCATTGGTATGGGCTGGAAACAGACCGATAAGAATAATGGACAGAAAGGGTGAAATGGCCCTAACCGGTTTGGCTCCGTGGATAGAGCGTCAGCCTGCGGACGGAAGGGTCCTGGGTTCGATTCGGTCAAGGGCACGTACCTGGGTTGCAGGCTCCTCTCTGGCCCAGGCCCTGGTTGGGTGGGGCTCATGCAGGAGGCAACCAACCAATGTGTTTCTCTCACATCAATTTTGTGTCTTTCTGTTTCTCTTCCACTTTCTTTAAAAACCAATGGAAAAATATCCTCAAATGAGGATTAAAAAAAAAAAAGGTGAAATGCTGGTTTGAACGCTGTTGGCTTATCCGAATTTTCCTGGTTCTCCCAGCGCCCACCCCTCCTGGGTGCAGGTCGGGCTGCGGGGCTGAGCAGGGCAGGAGGGTGATTCTGTGCTTGTGTTTTCTCACAGGTTTGCCCAGGGGCTGGGAGATGGATTCCACCCGGGAAGGAGCCGTGTATTTCATCAAGTGAGTAAGGTGGCGCTCGCTCTGGTCTCCCTGGGGGGCCTGCCTTTGTGCTGGTCACTGGTGCCTTCTGGAGAGGGGAGAAGGCTCAGGGGCCTGGTTTCTCCCTGAGGGCTTTGCTAGGGCCTCTCCGTCGCCAGGAGGTGTCCCGGCTTCCGAACGAGCTGCAGATAAAGATGGGCGTGTGTGCATGTGTGTGCGTGTGTTTCTGTGTGTGTTGATGTTGGCTTGCGAGAGCCAGTGTCAATCGTGGGAAGTTTTCGAAGGTAGGGCGGGGCGGGTGGAGCGCTGGGCTCGGCTGCACGGGTGGGAGGGAGATGGCTAACAGAGGAGAGGCTGCTCCAGACACAGGACAAAGGGTCCGAGGAAGGAGACGTGCACTGGCTGCCATGAGAGGCAGGAAGTGAGCCGGTGGGAGGGGAGGGCTGAGTGGGGTGCACACACGGGCAGGTTGGGTGGCCACCGGGCTGCTTCCCTTACTCCTGCTCTCCTGGAGGGGGCATTGCAGTCCTGGCAGTGACAGGTGTGTGTCCAGGGGGTTGGTCAGCCCCTCGGTGGGCTGGGATAGCTCATGCTCTCAGCAGCTGAAGGGGCCACCCTTGATGTGACCGTGGAAGTAGCTCTCTGGGCCGGGGTGGTCCACATCTACCCGATTGGACTCCTTTCCCTCCCGCCTCGGCCTGGGTCTCGCCACCTCCAGGCTGGGCCCTGGCTTTGCTCCCGTGGGTGAGGCTCGGCATGCTCGGGCCTGTGGGCCTCTCCGTCTGGCCTGGCCTCAGACTCTGCAGGGCTGGTAGGGAAGGCGGCTGCCCAGAGGGGGCCCCTGCCCAACCAGGGGAAGGGGCCCCTCTTTTTTCCTCCCCCTCCCTCTCTTCTTTGAAATCCTCATCTGCCTATACCATGGGGTCACCTTTCCATTTCCACTCCAAGGCCCACCAGCACTCACACCAGCTTGACAGTTAACCAGATGCTGAAAACAAAATCAACACCCAAAGATGATCTGACAAATGATCTGTTTTGGAAATTGTTGTGAGATCACGTGGCTCTCATAGCCCGAGCTTCCCCTGAAATGGAACCCAAATCCTTCTTGCATCGGTTAAGACGTCTCTCCTTTGCTCCTTGAAGATACCATCTTAGCATTCGATTGTGTGCACTTGGCTCTCGGTATTGTTGACTGAGCACTTCCACATGTACCATCTCTTCTCATCAGTCCCAAATGGCTTTGCACCTGCTGTGGTCTGGCCCTGTCTTCCTCTCGCACCGCTGGCCAGCCACGGTGGTTTTCATCTTTCTTTTTCCTCATCACACCAAGTTCATTCCTACCACAGGGCCTTTGCATTTGCGGTTCCTCTGCCTGGGAACACTTTCCTCCCCTTTTTGCCCATCTGCTTCAGCTACCAGCGAGAGCACGCCAGCCCTGAACTCATTGCCTTCCCATCGTCAATACCTACCCCAGGTTCGTCAGCCGTCCCACACGGCAGAACCCTCCGAGACAGCCTCGGCCCCTCCTCTCAGGCCTCTCAGCTCTCCCAGCCCACACACTCCTCATCCTGAGTTCATGCCCACAGGGGCTCTCACCTGGGTCATCCTGGCAGCCTCCACGCGTATCTTCCTGCTTCCAGGCCACGCTGCCGCAAGAATGCTCTTTTTCTACGATGCAAATTTGGTCATTTCTTTCTCCATTGAAAACCTGTCATGCCTCCAGCTCCAGGATAAACTGAGGCACCCATCAGGGCTTTATCATCTGGCTCCTGCCTTCTCCAGCCTGGCCTCCCACACTCCCCAGTTTGCCAGACCCAATGGCTGTGGTTCCCTCAACACTCACCTCCCTTCCACGCCTCCCAGCCTTTGCGAGTGCTAATCCCTCTCTAGCACGACTTGTGTCTGCCTGCGAACACCGAACTCTTCCTTCAAGACTCTGCTCGCTGCGTCACTTCTTTGGGGAAGCCCACCTGTATTGTAATTGCTCGTTTGCACATGGTCATTTTCCCTAGATCAGTGGTTCGCCGACTTGAGTGTGCCTCACAATCTCCTGGAGGCGTGTTCAGACAGATAGCTTGGCCCCACCCCTCGAGTTTCTGATTCAGAGAGTCTGAGAATTTGCATTTCATAACAGGTTCCCAGGTTATGCTGATACCACTGGTCCACGGACCACACTTAAAGAACCACTGTTCTAGACTGAAAACTCACCAAGGGCAGGGTGAACACATGGTCGGACAGTCTGGAAACAGAGATGATATTATTTTATTACATACTAGAGGCCCGGTGCACAAATTCGTGCACTGGTAGGGTCCAGTCAGCCCGCCCCAATGAGAGCCATCGGGGGCGGGCCAGCTGGGGCTAGGGGCAACAGGCAGTTTGCCAGCCGGCCCTGCCCCCGATCGGGGTGAGGGTCCTCTTGGGGGTGGGGCCAGCCAGGGCAAGGGGCTGTGGGCGTTCCAGTCATTCTGTCGTTTGGTCAATTTGCATATTACCCATTTATTATATAGGACTAGAAGCCCAGTGCATGAAATTCGTGCACACAGGGGTGTCCCTCAGCCCAGCCTACACCCTCTCCAACTGGCAGTCAGACATCCCTCTTGCAATCTGGGACTGCTGGCTCCTAATTGCTCACCTGCCTGCCTGCCTGATCGCCCCTAACCACTCTGCCTGCCTGCCTGATCAACCCTAACTGCCTCTGCCTGCCTGCCTGATCACCCCTAACCGCCTCTGCCTGCCTGCCTGATCACCCCTAACTGCCTCTGCCTGTCTGCCTGATGCTCCTAACTGCTCTCCCCTGCCGGCCTGATTGCCCCTAACCGCCTCTGCCTCGGCCCCCGCCACTGTGGCTTTGTCTGGAAGGATTTCAGAAGATGTCCGGTCTATCCAGTCTAATTAACATATTACCTTTTTATTAGTACAGATTGTAACAAACATCAACAAGCCATCTATTATGTATTCTTGTCTGTTCCCAGACTTGTTGGCCACTCCACATATCAGGAGCAGCAGGGGACTCTAAGAGCTGAGCGCCTTACTACATGATTTCATTTAATCCTCACTCCAGTGTTGTCAGGGAGATGCTATCATCTCTAACTATTCGAGCAAGTAAACTGAGGCTTAGTAAAACTTGTTCAGTGCCATGAAGCTTGTAGAAAGCAAAGCTGGGGTCCAGCCCCACATCTCCCTGATTTCACAGGCTGTGCTCTTAGCAGAATGCTCCACTGTCCCCAGCATCCCTAGTCCCGGGTTCGGACAGGGGGGTGCTCAGCAAACCTTAACTGACTACATGAATGAATGAACGGCCCACTCTCCTTATTTACAATCAACTCCCTGAAAAGGTTTATGACATTTGGTTGGTGGGTGAGTTAGAAACTCTGAGGACCCCAGCCATGCATCCCAAGATGTAATAATGAAAGTGAGATAGCCCTGGCCTGTGTGGCTCAGTGAAGGGTTGCCTGTGCACCAAAGGGTCTCAGATTTGATTCCCGGTCAAGTGCACATACCTGGGTTGCAGGTCCCATCCCTGGCCCCAGTGGGGGCGTATGCAGGAGGCAACCATTCGATGTGCCTTTCACATCTCTCTCTCTCTCTCTCCCTTCCTGCCTCCCTCCCCTTCCATCACTCCCCTCTACTCTCCCTAAAAAGCAATGGAAAAAATATCCTTGGGGGAGGATTAACAACCAAAAGAAGTAAGGTATTCAGACAACGTGGGAAGCTTTTTTTTTTCTTCTAGCGTGGATGAGTCAAATTTCAATGAACAAATATTCACATTTGCCCAGAGTCAGACACATAGAATTGTGTCAGTAAGTCCTTCCCTTCATGGTGCTTGGGAGATGGTTCTCATGGGATCCACAACGGGTGTCATTGCTGAAGAGTGCCTGCGGTTTGAAGGTGTCATTTACCAGGAAGGGGTGGTGCAGAGAAAAGAGCAAAGGCAAAGGGTTAAAATGTGGGTAAAACCCATCGCAAGCCTTGTGCCTGTACCACACGCTTCCAGGAGAGGGAGTCAAAGCACACACGATTGGCCCGACTAAGGCTTCAAGGGGTTGGCTCAGATTGCTCCTTAGGCTGACCCGGAGGAGGCCCTCCTGGAGCCGGCAGAGCCATCTCCACCATCCCCGGCCACATCTCCGCCATGGGGGGTCTGGCAAACTTCTTTCAAAGCTTAAACATCTGGCTCTGCTTCCCCTGGGCCTGCTGAAGCTGCCAGCTGCGGAGCTAGCAGTGCTGCCTCCAGTAGCGCCTCTCTCTCCGAAGTTGGTGGGGAGGGAGATGGGGCAGGGACAGAGCCGCACCCCAGCTGACCCTTGCTCCCAATCTCGGCCCCTGCTGCTCCTCCCACCTGGGTGCGGTGCCCCCATTGGCCATGCCCACCTGGCTCCCAACCTCCTCCAGCCCAGGGAGCCCCACCCAGCCGTTGTCACTTCCTCCTTGTTCTGGTCTGAACGCTTCCGCCAAGAAGGTGCCAGAATGGGCAGTCCCTCCATCTGTGCCTCTAGCTCATCCATGAGTTGCTTGCTGATCGCTGCACAGGGGCTACGGGAAGCAGGGACGCAGAAGCCAGGGCTCTGTCCCCCGGTGGGGCACCCCAACCTGTGGGACCCCGGAGGCAGCAGGGCCCTGGGAAGTGCAGTGGAGGTGCCAAGAGCTATTCTGCTGACTCCAGAGGGGCAGAGGGGACACAGGAGAGGTCACAGGGCAGCATACCTGGTATTTAGTGCCGGTCCTAGCTCTACCCTCCGAAAGGCAAACGA